GATTACTGCAGGTGTTATGACGGAACTTGACAGTCCAGTGTCTAACTGTGAATGGTTGGCGGGTGCTCTGGTGTGGTTTGCTTCTTCTTTCCTATCAAATATCTATCGGTCTTCCCTCCCCTCCTTCTTTTTTATGTTTGTTACTCTCTTGTAACACCTCTAATCTTCTGGCGCTCATATGACCTTATGTAGTTGCGAGCGCAGTAAAACCTCTACTAAAACAAACAAGTATCTAACTGGTTCGATAGATCTTTGTAATTCCGAGGAACTGGCTGGGTTTTACCAGCTAACGTAGTTTTTTCTTGGTAACAACAGTATCTTGTTTCCTCTCTCAGATCCCCAATGGGTTCCATCAACCTACTGGCTTTTTCTTTTCACTATAAAGACTGCTACTCATCGCTTTGTGAGTGGGTGGAAGGCGGGTGCTCTGGTGTGGTTTGCTTCTTCTTTCCTATCAAACGTCTATTGTCTTTATCTCCCCTCCTTCTTTTTCCTGTTTTTGTTTCTCTCTTGTAACACCTCTAATCTTCGGCACTTTTATGACCTCACTGTGTTGCAAGTGCCGTAAAACACGTAAAAACATCGCTTTGTGGGTTGTTGTCAAGTTTTGCCACAACATTTCTATGATGGTACATTTTCTTTTGTTGGTTAATGTGAAGTGTACTTGTCGCTTGCGGTGTGCTGGTCTGTCCGGCTCAGACTGACAACGTGACCCGACGACGTTCTAAAGGTCTGCTCCATGTTTTTATTATTTATTATTTCTTTTTCTTTAGGAATAAAGGGAGTGGAGGTGGTGCGCTTCTTTGACTTTTTCAATTTTTAAAAGATATACTTATAAAAAAGGGGGAGTTGTTTTCATGCCATTTATGCGTTAGCGTTTTATGGATTTTTTTTCAAAACGTGTATTCAAAATGGACTTCTTGATGAGAGGAGAGAGCAAGAAGGGGATGGGAAACTCCTAGCCTAAGCTAAGCCAAATGGCGAATGATTACTGCATGTGTTATGACTGAACCTGACAGTCCCAGTGTCTAACTGTTCTGGAGGTCGGCGGTCTTACAACATACAGAACGACAAAGCAACCCGGCGGTCTTAACTTACAACATACAGAACGACAAAGTAACCCGGCGGTCTTAACTTACAACATACAGACTGACAAAGTAACCCGGCGGTCTTACAACATACAGACTGACAAAATAACCCGGCGGTCTTAACTTACAACATACAGACTGACAAAGTAACCCGGCGGTCTTACAACATACAGACTGACAAAGTAACCCGACGGTCTTAACTTACAACATACAGACTGACAAAGTAACCCGGCGACCTGGGTTCAATTCTTCTCTTGTTTTCTTGAACAGCTTCACCCTCACAGCCGCTACAGCTGACCTCCAATGTTCTCCCTACGATGCAAGCGGGAAGGATTTTCTGTCTGTTTGGGCGTGAAATTCTTTCAGAACCAGCCCCGCTTACTCATAGATTTCGTGGAACGTGTTCGACTTACTTCGTATGAATGAGATGATGGAAGAGAAAGCTGGGGTTCTAAAGGCCTGCTCAGTTTTTAATGTAATTTATTTTGTATGTGTTTTGGGGGAGGGGGTGGAGGTATATTTAATCATACTTTTCGTATTGTGTGTGTGGGGGGGTGTATATTATTTTTGGTATTGTGAGTGTTTTTTTTATTGTTTGTTTGTTTGTTTTTGGTGGAGGACTTTTTAGAGAGAAAAGGAAGGTGTTGTGTTTGTTTGATCTTTTCTCTCTCTTTTTTTTTTGCATTTATGAAAAAAGATTATTAAGTGGTTTGGGTGGCATTAATACGTTTTGTTTCTTTGCTCCATTGTTGTTGTTGTTGTTGTTGTTGTTGTTGTTGTTGTTGGGGTTTTATTTTGGTCTTGTGTCTTTTGTTGTTGTTTTTTATTATCGTATTTAGAACAGACTTTTTAAGGAGAGGAGAGGAGAGAGCGAAAAGGGGGAAGGGGGACTGTTGGGCCAAGGCAAATGGCAAATGATTACTGCAAATGTTATGACTAATATATTGACAGTCCCAGTGTTATACTGTTTCGAGGTCGGCGGTCTTACAGCATACAGACTGACAAAGTAACCCGGCGGTCTTACAACATACAGACTGGCAAAGTAACCCGGCGGTCTTACAACATACAGACTGGCAAAGTAACCCGGCGGTCTTACAACATACAGACTGACAAAGTAACCCGGCGGTCTTACAGCATACAGACTGACAAAGTAACCCGGCGATCTTACAACATACAGACTGACAAAGTAACCCGACGGTCTTACAGCATACAGACTGACAAAGTAACCCGGCGGTCTTACAGCATACAGACTGGCAAAGTAACCCGGCGGTCTTACAACATACAGACTGACAAAGTAACCCGGCGGTCTTACAACATACAGACTGACAAAGTAACCCGGCGGTCTTACAACATACAGACTGACAAAGTAACCCGGCGGTCTTACAGCATACAGACTGGAAAAGTAACCCGGC